TTTTGTATCCACGACACGCGCCAATACTCGACCAGAACAGCTGTGTCGCCAGGCCAGTGCTGAACGAACAGCACATTTTATGCGAAAGCTTGAAGATCGGCGGAGATCCGTAATAACAGCTACAAGCTTGCAGACAATTCTATGCAGTTTTTCAATGCTGTAGTTGAGGACGCATACCTGCTCCGATTTCTCTGTGAAGTCAAACGCTACTGCTATGCCACATCCTGATAAGCTGGCTTCCCTGTTATGGCGCTCAAAATTTCGCCCTTACCGCACGGTGCTTTCGCCACACGCTGAAGCTCCTATGACCGTACGGCTTGTGCTGGGTACGGCATAATCAAAGGAGTTGCTGCTGCACACTGGGTATGGCAAGGTGGTTCTGTTTTCGGCCACATGAATTTGACCTGAAAACAAACGTAATTCTTTTTACTGTGACAATGATGCGTGAGAACTGTCAACAAAAGACCTCAAATCTTAAAATATTCGATAGCAATTCTTCAGAAAAGAACAGACGATGACAATGCATCTGTACTGAAGGTCACATCTTTTGATAAAATATAGGACATCGTAACCAAAGTTGATGTGTCCGGAAATTTAGAGTGGTACTGAAGGAGCTTGTTGTATTGCATTGTGAGGATCTTCTAATATTCATGTGATGACCTTTAAGTGGCAGTGCACGCTTTCTTTATTTTTTCAACTTGTTTGCATCACAAATATTCCCTATTTAGGCAATGTGAAAGTCTTTCCAATTAATTTGTTAGTATATGTGAGATCACTATGAAACTCTACAAGAGTCATAGAAGCCACATGGAATTTGCATTTTTTATGTACTCTCCGCGCACAAAAGGAACTTCCGCTGATAAATGCAAGATGAGGCGTGCTTCCTTGCTATATTATTGATGGCAAATATTACATCACTTACCAACATGGAAAGGTTCGCCTTCGTTCTGGTGTTTCGAAGCGTTCTGCTCTGCATTGACACTTTCCAACGGGAACCCTACAGACACAAAATGTTTTCACGTAGGGTTGTGTGACGATAACAACAGAGCGGCATATCAACTAGGCTAGTCTAGAAGGCACAGGGCTTTGTGCATGGGCTATTTCCCTGTTGTCAATTCGAAGGGAGAGAAAAAGGAAAGGGCTAAGAGGTTAATCAGTTCTCAGTCCGCTGGCTACGCTGATCTACTGGAAAAAGTGAATCTATAATTAACCTAATGTGCAGGAGCAACTGATCCTTATTTGTGCTCAAATATCACCCTAGTGTTTGGAGTGATCTGCTGCAAGACAATAACCAAGTCACTTTCGAGTGAAAGAATTGACATTCCGACAATAATAACACTCCATATTGCCTGCAAAACATGATATGTATCTACATGACCAAAAAAAGATCTGCCACTGTTTCCGATTGAAAACTCTCCCCGTCTCAAATGTGATATCACGCGGCCCTTGCAGTAAAGAGGTGAGTGGTTTACCCGTCTGCCTATGTAGATTGGATGCCTCCATCGCACCCTATTCCATACCGAGGAATAGCAACTTGCCGCAATTTCATTCCTTTCGATTCGTCAGAATAAATAGCTTAGCCCATGCATCACCACTGCGGGAAGGTGAACTAGCTGCTCTCCGCCACATCATGTGGGGAGGGTGTAACAGCGCTATGCACAGTGGGCACGGGCAGTGCCAGGACGCCACGTATCGCGAAAAGTTGAGAGCATGGATACGCTCCGAATACCTGAAGACGCATCGAAGGGCCATCCAGCGGCTTGAGGAGGCTTTGGCGAAGCAACGGAGAAAAGGAGCCGACAACCTATCTAACGGGCGCGGAGGCACCCGAGTAACTGTCGCCTAGTCAGAGCTTAACATCCTCGAGGTCTAGGCTCTGAGATTATCGTACTTTACTAATAGCAATAATCTTGATAGGAAACATCCGCACCCTGCGAAGCCGGGGACTTCATACGCGCCGGATGTATAAATAAATATTATTTCTCTCTCTGCCTCCGCGAATAGTCGGGCCGGTCAATTTCATTCCTACAATATTTAAAACATGAGAGAGGCATACCTTGATATATATATCAAGCTAAGAATGACTGTAACAACATAAATTGGATGTCATCAGATGCATTAGGCAGGGCAAAAGTGCGCAAAAGACGCCATGGCTGAGCGATAGTTGTTTAGTGGCTTATTTTATGCAGTACAACCAAACTCTTAGCTCCCGTAGGGGCAGTTCTTGATTGAGTGATTGATTGATTGATTTATTGATTGATTGATTTATTTGTGAGGTTTAACGTCCAGAAACCACCATTTGATTATGAGAGACGCCGTAGTGGAGGGCTCCGGAAATTTTGACCACCTGGGGTTCTTTAACGTGCACCCAAATCTGAGTACACGGGCCTACAACATTTCCGCCTCCATCGGAAACGCAACCGCTGCAGCCGGGAATCGAACCCGCGACCTGCGGGTCAGCAGCTGAGTACCTAAGCCACTAGACCACCGCGGCGGTGCTAGGAGCAGTTCTTCCGCTACGTTTAGTACTTGCAGGGTCAGCACAATCTTAGGAAAAATGTTTGTAGTAAACAGTTGACGGTCCATGTGTTTACTTGTTTAGAGCGTATTTTACAACCTTCCTCGCATCTCTTTAGTAGATGCCAGAAGCTAGTGGAGCTTGAAACTTTTGCCGTTGTTGACCAGGACTGCCTTCTTGGTTTTTATTAGCTTGATAAATACTAAGCTATATTCGTTGCCAGATATCTCGTAGACACCACTGCATATTTTGCAGTAATCATGGCACTTTTTAGAAACGTTTAGTCCAACCTCAATTTCGGTCGTTTGATTTGATATAAAAACTCCGTGCTAAGTGAACACACCCATATATGCAAATAAAAGGGCAGACGGTGATGTGTAAAAGACGTTCATTATTTTTCTAAATTGTGTGGCTGCTAACCAGTAGACAGTTTGCTATTCTAACGAAATAGCATTCAAGCGGCTGCTGCAGCGCAATGATACTAGCTAAATCTTGATATTCTATGTGCGTGTTTGCGTGTACGTTCTCATCTGTGATTCGTTCATGCCTCCGCGTAGATTGCTGCGATGCGTACTTGACTTCGTAAAAAACGAAATAATTAGCGAGTACTAATTAGTTAGCATGAACAATGACCCCTCGCCTATTAACCTATGGACACTTCTGTAATAAAGTTACCTTGATGTGGCAATGCACGGGAATATATCGGCGTGTGTTAGCTAAAAAATTGGCAGATCCCACGTACAGCGAGAATCGATGATATGTGAAGCACGAATAAGAAAGGTTGATATGTCACTTTAAAATTAGTACAACGTTACAAGGTGGACGTAAATGATGCCCTACACAACTTCTGTGTCATCATTATCATAATTAAATGTGTCGTTTACCTTCGCCATCGATCCACGTCACGTGATATCAAATTTAGTATATGTGGAGCTAGCGAAATGACCGCGAGCACGCGTGGTATGTTGTCATCTTCTTACACGAACGCGTGTCCGGATCAGCATGCTTGCACCAGTCATGTAGTTTCGTCATTCATTGACGTCACGTCGTAACACCAAGGGATCCCTTTCGTCCCTGGACGAAAGGATCCCTTGGTGTTACGATCGTCGTAACACATCGTCGCCTGTGTTACGTCACGCAAACACCGACGTCACGTCACCGGTGTTTGCGTCCGGCATCTCTTCGTCCAAGGAACGAAGGGATGCCGGACGTGCTCAAACGCGCATGCGTCAAAGCAACGGAGTGCGGTGCGCGCCTGTGAGCATATGGCAGGACTGGTGCCTGGCGTGGCAACGCCGGCGTGACAAGACGAAGTGAACGCCGGTGAGCACGCGCACTGCGTCACATCACGTCTTGGCACCTTGACTGCGGCATGCAGTCATGTTCTCACGTGACACGCATCTCATGATTATCTTGTTTGCACCAGTCACATACCTTCGTTATTCATATGCGTCACGTAATACAAAATCTGGCTTATGCGAAACTAGCGAAATGGCTGCTAGCGCATCATCAGTGTGGCATGTAGTCGTGTTGTTACATGGCACAGATGTCGTGACTGTTATGTTTAAGACAGACAGACAGACAGACAGAGAGACAGACAGACAGACAGACAGACAGACAGACAGACAGACAGACAGACAGACAGACAGACAGACAGACAGACAGACAGACAGACAGACAGACAGACAGACAGACAGACAGACAGACAGACAGACAGACAGACAGACAGACAGACAGACAGATAGACAGATAGATAGATAGATAGATAGATAGATAGATAGATAGATAGATAGATAGATAGATAGATAGATAGATAGATAGATAGATAGATAGATAGATAGATAGATAGATAGATAGATAGATAGATAGATAGATAGATAGATAGATAGATAGATAGATAGATAGATAGATAGATAGATAGATAGATAGATATAGAGACATAGAGAGATATAGATATAGAAAGGTCCGGTGGTGACAAAGTGATGCGTCGCCTTGTGTTTGATTGGCAGTTTGGTGTTCCGAGGTCTGGTGATTTCAGGGAATTCAGCCAGAATATTTTGAAAGTTTGACTTTGGGTTGAAAGTGCAAATGCCGCATGAGGACAGGTCAGACTTCAGTCCGATAATAGCGAGAGAACTGACGTTATCCTAGAGACGACGATCGAGAACGCTGACGTCTAGATTGTAGTGGCTCAGAAAGTCCCCTCCCAGGATGGCAATTCTGACGTCGGCCATAACCAAGAGCCATCGATATGTACGCCTGACTCCGATGTCTATCGTCACTGACTCGACTCCATATGCTGCAATAGCAGTATTATTGACTGCGATTAGGCTCGAAATGGACTTGCCGCCCCGGCGATGTTGGGCTGCTGCTGGTAGAATAGATAGCTCCGCTGCGGTGTCGACAAGGAGGCGTGTGCCGGTGATGCGGTCGACAACGAAGAAGAGGCGGCTTGAACGATGGCCCGTGTCGCTTTCCGCCGTTAGCACCTGGCCGGTGAGTTTCCCGTCCACGAGCATGGATGAGTGCAGCGAGTGGCTTGCTCTCTAAAACGACGGTGGTACCAGCAGATGTTCTGCTCTGCCTCGCTTGAGTGTCCGCGGTGCTGCGGGCTTCGAGCACGGGACGGCGAACGATGCCGTGCAGGCCGGTGTTTCTTGGACAGGGCGAGGTTTTCAACTGCTGCAGCCAGTCGGTCAACTCTGTCCTCTAAACGACCTAACTGGTCTGCATGTTCGGGCCTTCCCGTTGCAGCCAATAGACATTTTTGGTGGCTCAGTGCAGTCGGTGATGCGGTTGGCGAGTTGAGCCGACGTTCGAGAGTCACGTCATCTGAGCCAGCGAGTATCATCCGTGTTGACTGTGGCAGTCTCTGCAAAAACAACTCGCGAAGCTCTGGATGTTGACGCTCCTCTGACGCTTGTTGGCCCAGCAGCTGACGCATTCGGTGGAGTAGTTGTGAGGGACGCTGGTCACCGAGCTCTTCATGAGACAGAAATTGTTGCAGCCTGCTCTGTTCGGACACCTCAAGACGTTTCAGGACAGTGCTTTTTAGTTCGTCGTAGGGCTTCTCCGATGGAGTGGAGGCGAGCACATCGTCTACGACGCCAGCGATGTCATGTGGCAGTGCTGAAACGACGTTCAGGTATTTCGACTGCTGCGATGAGATGCGTCAAAGCTCGAAGCGGGCCTCGATTTGGCTGAACCACATCCTGAGGTTTTTGAGCCAGAAATGAAGAAGTTTTAACTCCGAAGCGTTCGTTGTGGGTGAGCTTAATGTACCTTCTTTGTCTGACATGGCTGCTGTTTTTCCAAACGTCCGAGTCACCACTTTGTAGCGTACTCGCCCCACGGAGGCGCGAAAAGATGGCACCTACACTTCTTGAAGTTTGGGACAAGACTAGTTTATTTTCTAAGAAAAAAGACTTCAAAAGCGACAACCAAAAGGGGTGTGGACTGCGTATCTTCCGTGGCCCTCCGGAATAACGAGAAGGCATGTTGGTCGCGTCTGCGCCGTGCGCCTCGGCATACGAATTGGTATGGGCACACAAAATTATCGCGATCACCGGCGTCATCTTCCGCTACAAGTGCATGCGCACTCATCGCAATGCATTGCTAAATGTGTGATAGGGTCAGCCTTCCACACTTGATATAAGCTCCCTTAGCCTCGTATTAGTGCACGTGAAAGTCTGGCCTATATATGCACAACCACATGTCAGAGGTATACAGTACACCATACTGTGTGCACGTTCAACAAACTTGAGCTCGTGTTTTATGCTGCGCTTCTTTTATATACACTGTTAACTTTGTCACATTTCTGGTTGACCAACGCGAACACTCTTCCGATTTCGTTCTCGGTCGTAAACACCAATTTGCATAGTACTTTTGCGAAACCTGTGGTTGATCTTTGCGATAGCCTGTGTGCAAAGAGATTGTTACCCCCTTAGATCTAGAACAGTCAGGCAACCCGTTTCCAAAACTGGTCCCATTCCAGGTTGCAGCTTCTTTAATAGCCTGGTGACCTACAGTCAACGTCACAGAAAATGGATACCCTGCGTCCTGGAGCCTGTAGCCTGTTCATGAAACGGTCACACCCGCAGGCTGACGTAAAGATCGAGTGCCTATATATAAGAAATAGCCAGTGAATGATTGTGCCGCGTGAGCTCTGGGTTTTTTAGTTGTTGTTTTTTCCAATCAATTTACTCGCTAGCAGTCGCTGCCTGTGCCGAAATCGCGAGGCGAGAAAGGGTTAGCGCTGAAGATAACAGAGGGGAAGTGGATGTGTAATGCGTATATGCCATTGAGACGGATGCCGAGAGTGGAAAAAAGGAGGGAGTGAGCGTAGACTAGCAGTCACTGCATGCATCGGCGCTGAGAGGGTGGAGAGAAGGGGAGGAGAGAGGGAGAAAGCCGCCCATGCGCCATAAGGGCGATCACGCATCACACAGGATTGATCCTGGAGTCTTTTTGTGCACTTAAGCACACACGGACGCCGACATTCCAGAACTTGGCTCAACGAAAGTGACTTTGACTCAACACTAGATAAAATTGTTTTATTTGGCTCACTCTGCCTCAAGTTCATCAATGTTTTACTCACCCAGTATCACTCAGATTCGAATTCACAACCTTATCTAAGTTAGTGCGAGTCGACTAATTAGTGAGTTTTGTGACCTATGAAAGCATGGCATTAGACTTTAGAGGTGTTAGTACTTGCTTAACAAAATTTAGACGCGGTGATGCTGCCCGAAGGACATCTGATACATACTGCGGATTGGGAGGGTGTCCCATGGTTTTCTCGTACCAGTCATTCAAGATGTCATTCCAAGCCTCGTCGGAACTGGAAATGGTCAACATGCATTTATGATCAAACGCTCACTCATAGCTGTGTCTAACATTTGCTGGAATGTTTCTTATTACTAAACTATTAAATGAGTAAACCATCTCCTTTTTTAAGAACGTGTTACCAGTCAACTTTCCGCAATGGCATCATGCTGCACCGGCTGCTGCTTCCACGTTTAATGCACATATGTAGCCCATAATGTTGATGGTGGAATGACCGCCACCGTAGACGAGTGCCAGAGCATTGAACGTGTTATTCGAAGGTCGCAGGATTGGAGCCTTGTTGTGTCGAGTTACCTCAACGCCTTCTTTTCTTTTTTTCAAGTTTATAATAATTGCTTCTACAAGCATCTCCTACAAATATTAGGGTATCCTCTCACGCTTCGTTCGCGAAATTGCCGGAAGAGTGCACTGGTTTTCGGAATTTTAAGGGGCTACATCCCAACATGCCTGAAGGTTGATGGCTTTCCAAGTCTCAAGTCTTCCAGAGCCGTCGAGTGCACCGATTGGTAAAAATACATTTTATTCATAGTAGACTATGTTGGCGGCTCACCCTTCAACCTAGAGGACGGAAGAAAGAGTTTCCTACTGTCCCACGCGTTCGCTACTGGTAAGCTCATCTCGCAGAGATATGCACATTGAACTCCAGAAACTGCGAGCGATTCGTTGTCGTGGAGAGCGGCGTTATAGACGCACGAAGTCATTTGATGGTCTGAGAGTGGCCAGACGCCCACCCATTTAAATCTTTCGCACTTCACCTACGCTGCGAAGAGATTCACGGCGCAGAATCTTTCTGTCGATGAATTGTCTGCGGGGACAACTCAAATAGGACAAAGACACCCAACTGTTCTGTATACTCACGTGACCTCCAATTGGAGTGTTCGTTTTAAATAAAAGAACTGAAGGATGCGCTTGCTTTATGTAGACGTTCTTCAGCGCCAGGACCTGACGGCATCACCTACCGCGCTCGGTGTCACCTAGGAGATCAAGCTCGGAAGGTACTCTTGCTGTTATACACCGACTCCTGGAAAACTGACATGGTTCCACAGAAATGGAAGTCAAGTCACCCGATTCCACTTCTCGAAGCCTGCAAGTCACCTTTAGACATTTCCTCTTACCGCCCGATCGCCCTCGCAAGCTCTGTGGTAAAATTATGGAAAGAATGATTTTACCCCGTCTGGAATATTACTTAAAAGTTCTACGAAATATATACAGATGACATCTGCGGGTTCAGACGAGGCCGCTCATCGATTGACAATATGGTTGACTTGGTGACACATGTAGAGCACCAGAAAGCCTGCAAACGGTGATGTGCTGTCTGTTTCTTGACGTTAAATGACTTACCACAATGTCATCCACGAAGCCATTCTCAGCAAATTAAAAGGAGTAGGAATCGGTGGTAAGATATATACGTTTGTTCAGAGCTACCTACAGAATAGGTACTTTCACGTTCAGACAGAGAATGGCCCGACACCCGAGTATCACAGTAGCTGAGGAGTCCCGTAAGGCGGAGAGCTAAACCGGACATTGTTCAACCTAACATTATTTGGAATAGTTGACAAGCAGCCAAGCAGCGTACGACTTTCCATTTATGTAGATGACATCTGTGCGCAGACACCAGGTGTGACTTGACTCCAACTTCGCGCTCGACTTCAGAAGGTAGCATCAGTGACATCGCACCACATACGTAAACAAGGGCTCGTAATCGCAAGTGGAAAGCAAACAGTCATGGCTTTCGCCAGAAGGCCAATGTCCGCCTATAGCATATCAATTAACGGACAATTGGTGTCACGCAGCCGGAGTCAATGGTTTGTGAGAGTCATAATCGAGCGAAACCTGCCTAAAACCCCACACGTATTACGTGAAAAAGCAGCTGACCACCATTTGTCACTTGTTCAGGTTCTTTACCAGAAGTCTCGGAGTGTCTAGCGAGTCTATGTTACAGCTGTACAAGATATTATTTATTGGATTCCTGCGATACAGCCTACCTGTTATATCTAACACTTTCAAAACTAACCTGCGCACACTTCAAAATATTCAAGCCCACGTTCTTAGGATATGCCTTGGTTTAACACGCTGTTCTTCGACGGCTGAAATCCTTGCCATTGCACAGGACTACTCGATCGTGACGCACATCACCATTGAAACGATGCGTACGTACCTCAGGCAACACGATCGGAATCCTTCCCACAACTTGGCAACCATCGCTACTGAGAGGCGCCGCATGAAGTTCAGTGATATTGTTCATGCGCATTGTGATTCGTATACATCAGATTTTACGCCTGCGGAAAAATTGGTGTATTTTCGTGGTGCCCGACACTTTCACAAGTGCGTCTTCAGATGCCAGGAATACAAAAAAACAATCAAATTCTCTTTGATCAGCCCTAAAAGAATTAAGCTTGCACCTCTTGCACGAAATATACAATCACTACGGGCACATAATCCGAACTTCGAAGACTATCCGAACTTCGTCGACGTCAAGCTTGGCTTCTTTGTTGTCATTGGTTGGAGGTTGCCTTCACGAAAACACATAAAACCCTCATTGCATTGACCGACAACTCGGAATGCGACGTCTGCGGCACCAAAAAAGACATTGCTATCTGCTATGCCGTTGCCCTCGATTCGCCTCTGAAACACAGAAGCTTTCTGACGCATTGCGACAACTGGGCGGTCGGCCACTCTGTATGCAGATGCTACTGGAACACCGTCCTCGTCTTTCGTTGGCTCAAAATGCAGTCAAAGTCGTCTGGTGCTTATTGACGACTACAGGCCTATGTGAGTACCTTCAACTTTTGTGTAGTGCCACCACTGCATACGCATCAGCTCATCGACTGACAATCCTTTTTTTTGCCTCTTTCTCTTCTCTTTCCCCTCTCTCTCTCATTTATGTACTCCCCTTTCTCATTCACCCAACGTTGGGTAGCATGCCGGGCATGTCCCTTCTTCCTACCTTCTCCCTTGTTGATCTTTTCCTCTCCATTTTTGTTGGTTCACATTATTATTGTGGCGAATGAAAACAAGCCCTTAGGTTAAACTTCTTTCTGTCTTCATTTTGTTCTTTACTTAAATATATGTGAATCAACCTGGGAAGAGGTCCAAGACAATTATAAAGCACAATTTACCAATAAAATTTAGCAATAAAATATATTATAAATATAAAATATAAATATATTTATAAATATATATGTACATACTTATAAATATACATATATAATATATATATAAAATACAAAGCGCAATTTAGCAATAGAAGTAACCAAAATGGCTTCTTTTATTCTAACACTGCAGAATATGTGAGAAAGAGGAGTAGCCTGAAGA